TCAGCTGCAGTCGACAAGAAAACGCAGACAAGACACAATGCAAATTAGGCGTCAGCGCCATCGATTGACTCAAGCAGACTCCATCTCAGGCCATGTGCCATCCTGAGCGTTGGAAACAGATTATACATCCAACAAACCATCTGTGACTTCAAAAGCACCAAGCAAGAACAAAAACATCAAACAAGTGGAAGCAATTCACCCACAACGCACGAACCCATTGCTAACACCGCATGCAACAGCATATGGAAAACATATACTTCCGGCAACTCCCAAAAATGTCCAAGCTTGACAATAAAGAATCTCTGGTCAGGGACCTTCATCATGCGACAAGCTAGATGTGGCCCCTGATCTGTTTTTGATTTGCACACGCGTTGTGAAAATCTGAAATCTACCCTCAGCACCCCCCAAATAGGACAGCTTCCACTGCTCATCTTCTGCCAAGCACCACATGAGGCCCCTCACACACCACCCGATGAAACACGAAGAAAGACTTTACCCCTGTACTTGTAGTGATCTCGGAATTAACAACGTAGTTTGCTGATTAGGTTCAAGATTTTGTCGTTCAGGAAGAATACGTAGTTGACGTACTTTGCAAACGCGACAGAAAAAATATTGTGTTTGGGTTTAGCGGTCCTTTTTAACCATGGCAAAACACTTGCCAGCGTGTTCAAATCGCCTTGACAGTTTCTGCCGCGTCCGCTTCATCACCTTCCGTGTTGCCGTTTCAAAATCTGTGGCCAAAAGCGCCAAAGCTCAAGTTCCTCCTCGTTAACTTAAAACGGAGCAAATCGCAGTGACCAAACAGGCTTGTGAAAGGGATCAGACTGGCTTGTTCACTTAGGTACCATCAAAACATGTTGCACGCATCGTGAAACGTGTTGTGTCAGTTGCAAGTTGGCTTAGCTTCATCTCGCTTTTTCAGTTCTTCTCTGGTCTTTGAGAAAGTCTGTTTTAGTTCTAAAAAAACCACACAAATCCAGTGGCTGGCTTGATGTTGCACAAAATGGGCTTTCAGCAGAAGCTTGCCCTGGCGCTGCGGTGTTTGTTCCAGCACGCCGCAGCCAGTCACCAATACTTTGTCCTTGTTTGAAAGGCGCTAGCAACGCGTGACCTGATTGTTGATTTTGACAAGCACGTTCTGTGATCCAGGCGCGCGCCAGCCGCGTTTCTACTGAAGACAAAGGGCTGGGAGGAAGCAACCATGGCATCGTCCCGCAATCAATACGCAACACCGCACCATTTAGAGAAGGCACTGCGACCGCTGCCCGAACAAAAAAGTTGCAGGGTGTGTCCCTGTGAGCGAGTGGGAATAGCGATTTTCGCCCCACTGGGTGCACTCTGTCTTGACTCACGCTGGTTTTGGAGCGACCACTGTGCAGATTTGATGTTGTGTCTTTGCTTTTGATACCGAAAGCTTGTGGAAATGCAATTGCAGAAACGTGCCACATTCATTGGCTTGCTTGAATGTTTCAGTTGTGGATGGCAACCAGGCGAATTGTGCTGGATGCAAGCAGCAACGACTTCAACAAAGCATTAGATTGCTGTGGGATGCACCAAAGGTTTTCAGACTGGCAGCCCCCGCTCACTTGGCAACTGCGAGTGCTTGTTACAGGGTGTGACTTGGGGTGTGAATTGGGTTTATCGGGGGTATGAGTTGCGACCTACAAAACTCGCGTTGCCTGAAACCGTTTGCTGTAATTTTCATTTTGATTTATCAAGAGCCCCTGGTTGGTCTCCATCGACTCAACAAGAAGGAACTTCAAGATTTCCGGCACATTGGTGAACACGTCATCCGAGTCAAAGATCCGCCTTTATTGTGCCCCAGATGCTTTGCGGGCTGGGTTTCTCTACGGACTGGTTCTCTGATTTACGATTTAGCAAACATTCCTTTGAGAAGCCTCTGACACCTTGTATGTGGAGTTTTTCTCGATTTTCTCACTAGACAACCATGACGACATCTCCTCTGGAAAGGGCGACATGCAGCATAAACTGTTTGTTTTCTCGAGCCCTCTTTCAAGGATCCTTGTTACTCTTGGATGGAACATTTCAAGGTGGTTTGGATGTGGCACCGTTTCGGTGTGGGGTGCCTTGCCCACTGCATGTGGTTAGTCTGGCAGCATGTGGTTAGCCACGATTGACTTGTCAGTTGGGAAATGAAAAAAACCCAAGGTGACACCAAAAACTGCACCAGCCTGCGTCAAAATTCTCCCTTCCTCCTGCGTCAAACCCACACCGTCTTAGCCTTCCCAGTGCTTCTCAGTGCTTTCTAACTGCTGTTGCAGTGCTGTTGCCAGTGCGTTCAGTGCTTGTTGAAGCTGGAAAGAGCTCCCACGCCAAATCTACACGTACCTAGCAGGCTGTTCAAAAACGATCAGAAACTCAGTACCAGTTTCCGTGGGAGCGTTTGGAGTTTCTGTGTGGCGAGCATCGAATTGCAGGGTCTGCTGCAGAGACAATTTCTAACTGCGCAATGACAGGAATGACGTGACCAAAAAGCAGTCAGCACCTCTTGTGGGTTTGGTCTTGGCACAAGGGCGTCTTCAATGTTTGCGCCTCCGTGCAAAATTCCAAGCAAATATTGCCAAAAAGGATCTCCTGCATGATCGGTAACCTGTATTGCCCGCGTGCTCTGTGTGGAAAAACAAACAACGTTCGTGTCTTGAAGTCCTCCCCACGTTGCAAATTACATTGGTTTGCCTGCCGCTTCTTTGAAGCCTGTTTGCAGCATGTGACTTTCTGTTTGGTCAACCGGGAGTGCTGAAGGTGGCACGGGGAAAAAAGACTTTAAAGCCAGTTCGAATCCACGTACTGCAAGGGCACAGGGTGGACACCCCTCAAAACACCCCATCGTGTGGCCCCCAATATTACGCCCCAACACGGCAGTCTGTCCTGAACGCGCACACGCACAACACACACAGCCAATGCACAGCACGGCGCGCGCGCACACGCATATGCACACGCACACACACACACACAGCTGACGCAGGCAAAACCCAACCATAAAGTTGGCAACCGGCCCGGGGATTTAAAATATTTAAAATATTTAAAATTTTTAGGCCCCAAATCAGCTTAAATATTTTAAATATTTGAAATCGGGGCCCGGGGATTTAAAATATTTAAAATATTTAAAATATTTAGGCCCCAAATCAGTTTAAATCTTTTAAATGTTTTAAATCGGGGGCCCGGGGATTTAACACATTTAAAATAGTTGAAATATTTCAATTATTTAAAATTTTAAATCGGCCCCAGCTCCAGAAATCAGGACCCGGGGATTTAAAACATTTAAAATATTTAAAATATTTGAGCCCCAAATCAGCTTAAATATTTTAAATAATTTAAATCGGGGGCCCAGGGATTTACAATATTTAAAATATTTAAAATATTTAATTTTTTTACAATTTTAAATCGGCCCCAGCTCCAGAAATTCGGGCCCGGGGATTTAAAATATTGAAATATTTAAACTATATAAATTTTTGAATCGGCCCCAGCTCCAGAAATCAGGACCCGGGGATTTACAATACTTAAAATATTTAGGCCTCAAATAAGCTGAAATGTTTAAATATTTTAAATCAGGGACCCGGGGATTTAACATATTTAAAATATTTAAAATTTTAAATCGGCCCCAGCTCCAGAAATCAGGACCCGGGGATTTAAAATATCTAAAAGATTTATTTAAGCAGCATTGGGCCTGAAATTGTGCTAAATATGCAGGAAAGGGTCCCGCGACACATTATACATACTCTACCCTCTTACCCCCCCCCCCCCCCCACACAAAAAAGAAGCCGAACCCGAACCCGAACCCGAACCCAAACCCGAACCCGAACCCGAACCTCCCCCCCCCCCCAAAGCGGCCCGGCCCAGAGCCCGAACCCGAACCCGAACCCAAACCCAAACCCGAACCCGAACCCGAACCCGAACCCGAACGCCCCCCACAAAAACAGAAGCCCAACCCAAACCCGAACCCGAACCCGAACCCGAATTTGAACCTCCCCCCAGCCCCCCAAGCGGCCCGGCCCAGAGCCCGAACCCGAACCCGAACCCGAACCCGAACGGCATTCTCTCGCAGCTTTGGACATGCACCACGCCGGGGGCTTCATGGTCGTGAGCGCGGGGCCAACTCCTGAGGACATCCTGGCATCTAGAGTCGTTCCAGATGACCAGGACGCCCAGGCCATTTTGGCTCCTGAATTGCTTTCGTGTCAGTCTACCTGTTCTTACGGAAAATCAGTGCGTTCGCCCCTGCGGGGCGTGTGTGCAGCAGGGGGCAGTCGGGAGACCACAGTCCTACTGCGAAGACGGCCATGGAACCTCCGTAAAGCGGATTGGGACGCCAATCCGCGTACCTGCTGATCTGTGTTGCAAAGTTCTTTTGGCCCTTGGTTTCTCTTGCTGTGCGTGCTTCATGTTGGAACTGGTAGCGTTTTCAACTCTAGAGGGAAGCCATCGGTCTTGCCACTTTAAGATTACCCCCTCGAACTAACCCAACCGACAAGTTGTACTCAAAGATAAGCAACCTCCGGCCAATGTTCAAGTGTGTGTGCGCCGTGCTGTGAATTGGTTTTCCATTTGAACATGGGCGTTTGGCAGCCAGATCAGGCTCAAGTCCTGCTTCTTTTGCGTAAAGGTTTTTGACCGGATTTTTGTTTGTTTTGATCCGCGCGTGAAGTTTTGCAGATCGGCAATTTTATGGTTGGGCTTTGCCTGCGACAGCTTTTTTTTGTGTGTGTTCGGTTGGGTTTCCACTTGAGCAGTGAGCGTTTGGCAGCTTGCTTCCTTTCCGGAACCACGTGCCAGTCTGCAAGCGAATCTGAGTGCGAGCAAATGTTTGTGCGCAAGGCACCGATTTAAAATACTTAAAATATTTAAAATAAGTAAAATATTTAAAATTTTAAATCGGGCTCAGATCCTGGGTTCCCGGGATTTGAAATATTTAAAATAATTATGCTAATTTGGGGCCTAAATATTCTAAATATTTTCAACATTTAAATCCCGGGCCCCGA